GGGCACGTTGCCGGGGGGGGGGAGCACCATCATATTTTCCCCCCCCCCCGCCTTTTATTTTGCAAATACAGGAGCCCCCCCCAAATTTTACAGGGTGCAGCGCAGCCCGGGGTCGGGAGGGGCGGCGGGGCGGGGCCAACACCGCGGGTCTCTGTGGCGCAATCGGTTAGCGCGTTCGGCTGTTAACCGAAAGGTTGGTGGTTCGAGCCCACCCAGGGACGGGGGGTTTAAATATTATTAATTTTTCTTTTTTTTTATCACGTGGATTTTATTTTTTACGGATGGGAGCGGTAAACTGCTGCGGTCACTTCTTGTGTTTCAGGTGGAAAAGGGAGCTGGAGAAAGGGGTGAAAATGGGAAAAAGGCAGGTGGGAAGAAGGAAAAAAAAAAAAAAAAATGAAGCGTTGCATTGGCCGGGAATCGAACCCGGGCCTCCCGCGTGGCAGGCGAGAATTCTACCACTGAACCACCAATGCTGCCGCTGAGGGCTCTTTAAGGGACCGAAAAATGAGGGGATTAACCCCAAAACAGCCCTATGACGCATAAAATTATTCTACCTGCGAGGGGCGACCCCCTGCTCATTGGGATGCCGCGCTAATGAAGATGAACAGCAATTAGAGGCGGGAAAGGCGCTTCTCGTTAGCTGCGCGGCGGGCGATTTGAATTTCGCGCGCTCGGCGCTGATTGGTCACCGGATTCGGGGGTGGGGTGGGGTGGGCGGGGCCGAGAATGGAATCCCACGGCACGGCCGCTGTCTCCCCGGGAGCGCTCCGGTCCCGAGGGGAAAGCGGGGTCGAGCGGCTCCGGTACCGCTTTTTTTTTTCCTCCGCCGGGAAAACCCCGCTACGGCTGCCTCATATCCCGGTCCCCACGAAGTGGGGTCCCCCCGTGCCGGCGTGCTCCCCTCCGGGGCGGCACCGAGCTCGAACTGGGGGAGCAGGGCGGCTTCCCCCCGTCCACGCTGTGCGCGGCGGGATCCTAACGGCGCGTTCTGATTGGCTGAGACCCTTGCTCTGAACTCAACTATCAGCGTCCAATCAGAGCCTACGTTCTGGAGCCTCTAGATTTGCATGCGCGGAGGGGGGGCGTGCGTGTCTCCGCGCGGGGCGCTGTGAGATGTCTCGGCCAATAGGAGAGCGCGAAGTTTGAATCCCTCATTTGCATAACGCCGCTATAAAAGCGGCGCCGGGCAGTCGCTCGCTTTCACTCCGTACCGTTTCCTTTGTGGCGAGTCCGGAGAGCGCGCCATGCCCGAGCCGGCCAAATCGGCGCCCGCCCCTAAGAAGGGCTCCAAGAAAGCGGTGACAAAGACCCAGAAGAAAGGCGACAAGAAGCGGCGGCGCAGCCGCAAGGAGAGCTACTCCATCTACGTCTACAAGGTACTGAAACAGGTACACCCCGACACCGGCATCTCCTCCAAGGCCATGGGGATCATGAACTCCTTCGTCAACGACATTTTCGAGCGCATCGCGGGTGAGGCTTCCCGCCTGGCCCACTACAACAAACGCTCCACCATCACCTCGCGGGAGATCCAGACGGCTGTCCGGCTCCTGTTACCCGGCGAGCTGGCTAAGCACGCTGTCTCCGAGGGTACCAAAGCTGTCACCAAGTACACCAGCTCCAAGTAAAAATCGGCTGGACGCGGCTGCGGGAACCCGCTCGGCTCGACTCGACCCAAAGGCTCTTTTCAGAGCCACCCACCTGCTTGCTAAAGAGCTGATATTGCCGCTGAGATGCGCCGTGTTTTTCTGGACTTTTTGAGGGTCGTAACGGTTTGTAGAGCGCGGTGAGGGGGGTGGGGACGCTTTAAGAGTTCTGTGTAAAATGGGTTATTTTTCTGTATTTTAACAAAACGCCCGTTTAGGGCTGTAGTTGAGGCTTTTCCCGCAGCCGTCCCTCCTCGGGGTTACTCGGTCGTGCTGCCGCTTTCGCCTTCAAACCCTTGCTCCGCTCTGATTGGTCCGGACCGGCGTGGGACGTCACGGCGGGGCGGGGCGGGAAGAAAGGCGCGGAGGGAGTTACAGCGCAGGTTTCCCTCTGGTCCGCTTCGGAACTATATAAAGCCTGGGGGCGTTGC